GGAGTAGGGTTAGATTGGGAACCTTCAGTTTTGTTTTTCTGAAGACTGATATGAGCAAAAACTTGAAGAAGGATTTTATGAAATATGTAAAAGACATGAAAAGCTCAAATAAACAAAAGTAGTTGAAGGATATGACTACATTTTAAACTTTGAAATTTGTTTCTAGCTGAAAATACGTGGAAGTTGTTAGCTGTGAAAGAGCACAAGGTTTTTAGCAGAATTTTTCAGAAATTATGGGATGTTGTTCATTTCAATGGGGCCAAAAATGGTCACAAAAGCTGAATATTTCCTAAACCGTATTATATGTCAATACCAATCCTGAATCAGCAAAATATGGTAAAAGTTGAATGGTTGAAATAGCGGCACAAAGTAAGCCAAAGTAGCTAAGTGGTGAAAAGTGAACGGGAAACAGTGGAGAACTCTTCTAACAAAGTAAAATGATTTTCAACCAGCAACAGAGGCTGTTTTATTGTCTCACTATAAACATTTTTATTTGTTGTTTCCAACAGGATTGTGAGGAAGCCATCTTGGCTCTAATCACTGGTGCAGTCTGGGAGGAGGCGCTCAGACTGGTCTGTAAACAAACTCATTTTCTTTGTCAAAGTGATTTTTTTTTTTTTTTGAGTTGTGTGGCATTAAATTTTTTTTTTTTTTATTGCTCAAGATTTATGTGCACAACAGACATGATATCACTGAGACCAACCTGAAACCTGCTCTGTTAGAGGGTAAGATGAAAGACAGAACAGTGATTGTCTCCTCTTTTATGTACCATGCAGAAAAGGTTTTACTTTTTTTCTCCACAGCTGTGAACTCTCAAACTGGGTTCTTGGAGGCTCAGGTTGCAACATTTAACCGGCACCGGAGCCGTCTGGCTGTGGTTCGAGAGCAGAAAGAAAAGGCCAGACTGGATATGCTTGGTGAGAAAAACTGTGTGATGAATCTATTTCATTCCATCAAAATGTGTTTAAACATTTGTTTCTAGTTGTGTGTTAAACCATTTATGCTCCTTGTTAGATGAAGAAGGTCCAGACTGCCCTGATGCTGAGCTGTACTCTGAAGCTAGCAGTGTGTTGACCGCGTCTAAATACTCCCAGAGTAACTCCCGGATCTCCTCGTAAGGGGGCACACACCTAAAAAAACATTAAGTTAATATAATATTTGTGTTGTTTTTGGTTTCAGTGTTTGGATTTCTCTTGCAGAAGGTCGTCAAAGAACCGCCGGAAAGCGGAGAGGAAGAAGCTGAGTCTGAAGGAAGGAAGCCCAATGGAGGACAGAGCTTTAATGCACGCCCTGAGTGAAATCATCACCACCGTAGACAAGATGAGAGGTACAAACAAGTCTTTTTATTGTACGTGTTGTCCACCTGCTTAGGTGCAGATTTTTGTGTCTAATGCTAAACCAGGATCCCTAATGCTGGCTGTAAGCATTTGAACTGATCAGGCTTTTTAAGTCAGGATTAAAAATTATTTTTTGTTTCAATTAAATGTCATACATATTTCTAATTTACAAAAAATATGCTGCAGGTTTCTCATTAATTAATCTCATTCATTAATCTAGCAATGTATGCGGAGATTAAATGCATTAAAACATGAATGCCAATTTCCTTGAAATTCAAACTAAAATGATTCAAACATATGCTGTTCTGTTTTGGGTTTTGTTGTTTGATGCTTTTCCAGACCAAAACAAAAAGTGTGAATCTTCCATTTTGATGCATTTTATAAATGAGGAAGAAAAGAAATGCTTCATATTAGTGGTTTGGGGAAAAACTGGATGATTTTGGTCACAAACCAGTCTGCATTGGACATGCTGCAGTAAGGAGTTCTGGTGAACGATGAATCTGTCCCTCCGTCCTCCACAGAGGAGATCCACAGCCTCCTTAAGGCCTTGGTGCTGTTCCAGTTCGATAAACAGGCCGGGAAGCTGCAGCTGGCCTATGAGGAAGCCCTGCAGACGATGGAAGGAGCCGTTCCTGAGGTGTGGCCTGAAGGCCTGCTGAGCAGCAACGCTCCGGTAAACATAACACCCTCTTCAAAACTCCTTCATCATAATATGTTCTTTTTTATATTTCTGTTGGGCACCAAAAATCTAAAGTTTATTAAAGGTTTTATCTAAATGACTGGATTCAGGATCCTCAATAATTTGGCTACAAAAGCAACAAAGATGGTTGTATTAAATACTTCTTCTCATCTGTTTTTCCATTTGCATCCATGTCTACAAAAACTGTAAATCATGTATTAACTTGCTGCTGTGGCACCTGAATTTCCACACTGTGGGATAATAAAGGATATTTCTATTCTATTTTTACATAAATAAAACAGTTCTTATTTCTGATTAAAGGTAAAACATCAAAGCAGTTGAAACTGCAAAAATGTTGATTGAGTGAACTGTAATCAATACTAATGAGAAATAAGAAGGCAGAACTGTTTGCACATTTTTTCTAAACATAAATTTTGCTTTTTGAAATGTTTTGCCTCTAAAGGTAACGGGTCCAAACTCCACAGCCAACAGCATCATGGCTTCTTTCCAGCAGCAGCAGCAGAAACCTGCAGCATCACAACCAGGTCGGTACAGTTTGTGGTGTTAAGATTTGTGTTTTTTTTATTTTTATCTCCATCTCTTAACCCCTGTTGCCTTCAAAGTAATGCTCAAACCCCATTTCATATTTTATTTTTGTATTTGTTTAAGGATAGCGTAGCCTGGAGCTTACATTTTATTGACGGCCTTTTACTTCTGGTTTGTTACATCAGAACTTGATGTAAAAAAATTTAACTTAAAAACTAGATCTTGGTTTGGTTTGGTTTAGATGAGATGTCAAACAAAGTATTCAAATTTCTTCCTTTTGAATAATTAAAAATCATGCTATAACTGGTCACAAACTGAATTGAAAGGTCTGAAGGGTTTAATCCATGTTAATCCTGTACAAATTTTTCTAAGTATTATTGATTTTAACTGATCTAAGTTTGTGCAAATTCTAAAAGAACAAAATGGCTTTTTACTTCTACTGAATTGGAAAAAACCTCTAGCCCTGTATTGTTAAATAATCTGACATGAAAGCAAACCAGGTGAATATTTTTAACTCAAATGTCTTGTGAAAAACTGCCAGAATATTTTCTAAGTCAAGTCTTGAAATATGTAGATATTGTTGACATATAAACAAGTCTTTGCTATGTGAGCAAACATTTAGAAACTGTTTTTTTAGAGAGATTTGTGCCAGATCTGCAGATTGGAGAAGCGCTAATGTATTTTGTCTTTTGCAGATCCTGAGATCCCAACAGCACCAAAGATGAGAAACGGTGTCAAGTGGAAGCTCACTGTTCTTAAATAAACAAAACACATAGTATTGTTTGATTTAGGTTTTTTTTTAAACTGTAATGTACAATTTCAGTTGTATAATAAAGATTCATTTAACATCTTCTGATACTGAATCGAGTTCCTTTTTTTACATAAATAAAACAAATATCAGCGATTTATCTCCATTCCTAGAGTTATAGTTATAGTGCTGCTCCACAGCAGATCATTCAAAAAAAGTTGATTGTTGCCCACCTGCTCTGCCCTGATAAATTAAATCTAATGCTAAATCCAGTGAGTTTTGGTGTCTCTGAACCAAGCCCTGCTTTGCTCTCAGACCCGTTTTGCTCGTTTGGCCGCAGCACGCCGCTGGTTGATGGCCTTGGTGGAGACGCGGAGTTTCCTCATTCGTAGCTGCCGCAGCCTCAGCTGCAGGTCCTTGGGAAGTTTCCCCCCCTTTGCCAGAATGTCCTTTGCTCTCCGTCTGGGTATCTTGGTGAGGTTGAAGTCGCAGATTGTGGGGAAGTGGTCGTACATGACGTAACATGTACGGGAGGAAGGGAAGTAGCCTTCAGCGCTGACCGTCAGGCGGTACTCGCCTGGATTCAGCAGGCGCCAGTAGTCGCCATCAGCCACTGCAAGAGGGAAGACCAGGCATGATAAAAGCAAAGAATAAAAAAACACTGCTGCAAGAGAAAAATATTATTTAAGCCTGAGTCACTTCTATAGAAAAACACAACATTTTACTAAGTATTTTTATCTAATTTCTAGTGCAAATATCTGAAAACACTTGAAAACAGACAAAACTAACAAGTAACATTTCAGCAGAATAGCAGCTTGTTTTAAGTCAACAATTCCTTAATATTGATGAAAAAGTACTTGTTGCCCTGACAGATTATCTCATAACATGGGAAAATGTCTTGTTATAAAACAAATAGTGTCAGTAGAGCTAGTACTTCAGATTTATCCAATTAATGAAGGTAGAAGATGAACATAAAGGACATAAATGCCCACATTCTGCTTTTGGTCAAATTATAACACAATTCTGAAAATAATTTTTAAAAAGTTGCAACACAAAAAAAAACATTAACAAAAGAAAATGTAATTTTGCTGAATGAAAGTTAGAACCCAGTGATCTGGGTCTGAAGTAGAGAGATCATGTCAAGATGAAAGGTCAAAGGTTCCTGTCTCTGTAATGCTCCAGTCATGTCCATGTCATCATTGACAGCAGGAGTACCAGCTGTTCTAACTCTAGAGGGCGCTGTGTATAAAAAATAAATTGCACCTGATCTGATGTGATGATCGATGTCCTCGACTTTGATGATGGCGTCTGCTATTCCCACCCCGGTGTCTTTGTCCCGGATCACACCCTTAATCCCACGATGGATCTGAACATCCGAATGAGAAATGTATGCAGGCTGAAGTCCTAAAGCATTACACTGTTACAGATTATATTTCATAATGTAAAATCAAAATACAAATCTCAAAAAGCAAACCAGGTCAGATCATTCTAGGTCAAGTCAAAACTTGCTGCCTTCAGTTTGACTTGAAAGAAATCTTGACTTTTGTGAAGAAAAGTGGATTCTTATCACTATTCTGTAAAAAAGAGTTATATTAGTGCCTTTTTATGTTTCCATCACGACTATTAAATCCATCTCATTAACTTTTTATTCTGAGTTTGTATTTGTTGCACATTACCAGATTCACATTAGTCAGAACCGATTGTTATGATTTAAAAAAAAGTGCAGTAATATGTGTCCCATCAGCATGACCTGGTTTTACTGAACAGGCGTGTGAGGAAATTATGACTCATCAGCTGGATTATATGTAACTTCAGACGTTTTTGTTCCCTTTAAAAAGAAATAGCTTCTGTGTTCAGTCTGTAAAAACAGATTTCAGTACCAAAAGTCTCTTATTGACAGCCTTTGGAAGCTTCTTCTCTTTATTTCAACTTAGTAGTTGATTAGGCAAGATGTAGAGAGACATTTGATTATGGGACACCACAACTACAGCTCAGTCATAAATGTGAGTAAATATGTTGAGAGGACCCAGGTATGGAGGCAAAAATGATAATCAAAAAAAATGCCCCCTGAAAGTGATGCTTTCTGACCTGCTCCATGTAAACCAGCAGAGACTCTCTGTTGTTCTCCCACTCGATGGGAAGTTCGCTGGCGTGAGGAAACTTATCGCAGGACAACTCCACTGTCACCTCGAAGCAGTTGGTGTGCAGGTAGCTGAAATCATTCATACCTGCACGAACAGAAAACATCACCTGCAAGTGTCAGAACAAGTAGTGCACTCATTCAGTGTTGGCTGTAAAGAGATATGTTAACAGGGATTTAGAATTATTGTCAAAATTATTGTTGCATTATATTAAATTGTATATCCAACTAAACATGGGCTCTTACTTCCAGGTACGTTGTGCCAGTCGGCCCCATTGATGATGTTGTTGTATCTGAGGAAGTCCTTGTTGTGGCACGGCCTTCGGTCTGGGTTGGACATCACCTGGTTGGATCAGACAACAAACTTTCCTCAGTCCCTTCCCTGAGGAGGAAGTTTGAGCAGGGAAAAGTGAGAGAGACCTGATTTGTGCTGGCATACGCTGCAGCCAGCCAGCGGAAGAAGCTCTCATCAGGGGTGGGTGTGTGTTCGCGCGGCGCCCAGTCCCGGGTCATGTCGTACGGGTAGGTGACGACCAGCTCTCCTCCATGGAGGTTTGCACCCAGAGCAAACGGGATGTTCTGCATCCAGCTGATCACAGCTCGAGTTTCAGGTGCAACCTTTTAAAAAATATATATCATTCATGCAAATGCTAGCACTGCTGCGTTGCAGCAACACATTACTGAGTTCAAAAGCCTTTCTCCAATGGTGTACTAGTGACACAGTTGATAAAAAAAAAAGAAGTAAATTACAGCCAAAATTTATCAGAAATTTTCTAAAACTTGGACATTTCTGAATTTGAAAAGTTTAAATTTTGCTACAAAGAAAACTCAGAAATTTTGAGATTAATCTCAGCAATAAAAATTTCATTTTTTCTAGCAAATTTTCTGAGATTAATATAAAAATTTCCTTGTTTTTTTCTAGAAATTACTCTGAAGATTTTTTTTGTCAGAAATGTACTCTTGTACTTTTGTTTTTTTTTTATATCTACAATCTAAATTTTAGAATGTGAAGAAAAACTTTTGACAAATGGTA